AAAAAAAAAAAAAAAATATATATATATATATATATATACATTCAAAATATGAGGGAGGGAAAAGGGAAGAATAGGTAGAGGAAGGAAGACGGGGAGGAGGAAAGAAAATTATATAGCAAATGTGGTAAAATATTAACAATTGGGGAATGCGGATAAAGAGTATACTAGAGTTCTTTGTACCATACCGTTCTTGAAACTTTTCCAAAAGTCTAACAGTTCAGAAAAAAAATTACAGCCTGGAGCGGTGGCTCACACCTGTAATCCCGCCACTTTGGGAAGCCGAGGCGGGTGGATCACGAGGTCAGGAGTTCAAGACCAGCCTGGCCACGATGGTGAAATCCCATCTCTACTAAAACTACAAAAATTAGCCAGGCATGGTGCGAGGTGCCTGTAATCCTGGCTACTCAGGAGGCTGAGGCAGGAGAATCGCTTCAACCTGGCAGCAGAGATTGAGTGAGCCGAGATCACATGCCACTGCATTCCAGACTGAGTGACAGAGACTCTGTCTCAAAAAAAAATACGAATAGTAATTAAGCCACAATAGTTTTGCAAATATCAAAAACCATCTTTATTATGACTTAAGATTTCAACAGCAAAAAGATCATGTAATAAATCATAAAGATATTATCAATTTTACCACTATGCTGCAAAAGTGCTGTAATTAGACAAAAACTAAGATGTATTCCTGAAGGAAAAACACACCCAACATTAAACAATCATTATCTTATTATAATAATAGTGAGCCATCCCAAATGAATTTCATAAAATCTGTTGCAGATAGTCACTAACCATAATCACTGGTATTTCTGTAAGATCATGAAAATATTATTCAATTCCAATTTTGGAATAAGGTTTTTTTTAAAAAAATAAGTCAATCAACATTTAAGGCACTAGAAGTGGCACACATGTTATAAAATTTGGTTGTGACAATAGTAACATTTGATCCTCAAAAATCAAAATACTGAGGTCGATATATGATTACTGTATGTCAGTATAAATCTTCAACAAAAACGTAGAGTTTTATATACTTCCATGTATGTTCTTAGGAATATTAAAATGAATTTGCGTTATAGGCCTAAAGTAGTATTTGACAATGAGTTTATTTCAAAGAATCTGTACACTCTTGAATTCAGAGGTAAAGGCTCACAGATTCACTCCTCTTTGAGGTTCCTCTTCCCTTGTCTGACTCAACTGTTTTCTCAACTTACAGTGGATGAATATGGCAGCCTAGGCCGTGGGTGGTCGCTCACGTCTGTAATCCCAGCACTTTGGGAGGCCGAGGCAGATGGATCACTTAAGGTCAGGAGTTCGAGACCAGCCTGGCCAACATGGTAAAAACCCATCTCTACATTTAAAAAAAAAAAAAAAAAAATGCCGAGTGCAGTGGCTCAAGCTTGTGATTCCAGCACTTTGGGAGGCCAAGGCAGGTAGATCACAAGGTCAGGCATTCAAGACCAACCTAGCCAAGATGGTGAAACCCCATCTCTACCAAAAATGCAAAAATTAGCCAAGCGTGTTGGCAGATGCCTGTAATCCCAGCTACTCGGAAGGCTGAGGCAGAGAACTGCTTGAACCCGGGAGACAGAGGTTGCAGTGAGCCGATATCACATCACTGCACTCCAACCCGGCCAACACAGTGAGACTCCATGTCAAAAAAAAAAAAAAAAAAATTTAGTCAGGTGTGGTAATGGGTGCCTGCAATCCCAGCTACTTGGGAAGCTGAGGCAGGAGAATTGCTTGAGCCTGGGAGGCGAGGTTGCAGTGAGCCAAGATCAAGCCACCACCGCACTCCAGCCTAGGCAAGAGAATGAGACTTGGTCAGGCACACACACACAAAAACAATATGGCAGTCTATACTTCATCTATTAATACTATAACTGTTAGTAAAATAAACCTAATAGGGACCAGGCTTAATTCCCAACTTAGTAAATTTCTAAGTTGAGACTATTACCTTTCTGAACTTACCCTATCAAGATGGCTTTCTGATCTTCAAAAAAGTTCCTAAAGAATCCCTAATATAACCCTGTGGTTTCTGCAGGGAAAGCCTATTAACACTTTCTTGATTGCATTTTAAATTCTTGAAATTTAAGCATGTGGCTGGGCACAGTAGCTCACGCCTGTAGTCTCAAACACTTTGGAGGGCCATGGTTGATGGATCACCGAAGGTCAGCAGTTCAAGACCAGCCTGGCCAACATGGAAAACCCCATTCTACTAAAACTACAAAAAATTAGCCGGGCTTGCTGGCACATGCCTGTAATCCCAACTACTCAAAAGGCTGAGGCAAAAGAGTCACCTGAGCCCAGCAGGCGGAGGCTGCAGTAAGCGAAGATCAGTGAACTTGATTAATAAAGCGAGACAAATGCATTCTATAAATACAAACAAAGACAAATACGACAAAGAACTACAAACAGATGAGAACACTAGTTCTGGTTAGGGAAAGCCTAATGAGACAGGTAAAAGTCAGTAGGATTAGAAGTTGGCGTCCATACAGACAGGCAAAGAAGGGGAAAGCAGCCGAGGTCACGAGAGAGTATTCGCAACATGGGTCGCTGGGCTGGGAAAGGACAAAAGATTCCATGCAGCAGTTAATGGTAATCAATGGTAATAAACACATGTTCTAGGAAAGCCTATGTATCAATCCACGAGCAATATTTAAAAAAAAAAAATCAACAAGATCTCTTCTCACTATCTTGACTAATGAAATGCTATCTAAGCCTGGATTTATTATTTATTTTAATAAAATTCAATCACAGTTTATCAACCTCCAGCATGAAACTCTATTCAGTAATAGCAATACTCTAATTCAGTTAATACTGTATTACCTGAAACTATATATGTAGCTTATCTGTTTTTCCCCCTCAACATACCAATCCACATGAAGGAGAAATAAAATCTGCCCTGCAGATTCTGGTGTCAGACAGCCTGAATTTAATCCTGGCTCCAAGATTTGGAGCATCCTCAGGTTAATTCTTCGTTCTTCCCCTTTCAATAGGATAGTATCACCAACTAAGTCAAGCTTGTCCAACCTGAGACCTGTGGACAGCATGCGTTCCAAGATGGCTTTGAATGTGGCTCAACACAAACTTCTAAACTTTCTTAAAATTTTATGAGATTTTTTTTGTGATTTGTTCATTTATTGGCTTATCTGCTACCACTAGTGTTATTATGTGTGGCCCAAGATAATTCTTTCAATGTGGTCCAGAGATATGCCTGAACTAAGTCATGAACATTGTACAGATTAAATAAGATAATCCACAAAGAGTTTCACACAATAATCGATGAATAAATGCCAGTCACTGACACGGCTGCAATGTTATAAGCAATGCTAAGCATTAGAGATGAAAGAAATTGCCTTCTATTTTTTATGAGCCTGTATAAATCATTTATAGCTCCTGACGGAAGTCACATATCTCCTTCAGGAAAAGAAAAAGAATCATAACTGGATGCACAGACAACATTCCTGTGGTTTAAAGTAGATACACCATGGTTTGCTCCAAAATCAACCCAGAGAAAGCCCAAAATGAAAGAGCCCTGGATTTGCAGTTAAATAATTAGTGCTCCACACCCTCCCCATTTCTAGGCATTGACAAAACAGATAATCAAAGATTTCACAGGCCTAGAACCTAAAACAAGTCACTAACAAACACTAAGAAAAACAGCAAAGGCCTGTAATGGAGTTTTCCTTGAGCAATACTATGTGCTAAGATCTAGCAATATTCAAAAAACCTAAAACAGATCCTTGACCATTAAAAGGTAGAAAGGCAGAGACTGTGACCCCGTCAACTTCTTAAATTATCATGTTAATATTAAGCCTTTTACAACTCAAAATAATACTGCATAGCTGGAGCACAAAGAAAGGCACAGGCTCATGCATAAAAAATTGAGAAACAAACAATATTTTAAATTAAACTATGCTTTTAACTTGGTTTGAGAACTTGGATTAGAAAAAAAGTCCCCAAGTGTAACCGGCAGTCAGATCCATGTAAAAGTATGCATGACTTCCTTTTTTAAGGTGGCTCTCAGTTGCCGTGTCATGCTACCATGAACACACAGCTTGTGCACTGAAATGCACCTAGCATTTCTTAACAGAATACCACGTCAAAAGATACTTCTTTCCCTCTGGTGACAGAGAAGTTCACAGTCAATCATTAGTTTCTTCAACAGGACTGACTACGTGGTTTTTTGTTTATTTTTACTTTTTGGTAGAGATGAGGTCTTGCTATGTTTACCAGGCTGGTCTTCAACTCCTGGGCTCAAGATATCCTCCCAAAGTGCTAGGATTACAGGTGTGAGCCACTGTACTTGGCCCTGACTACATGTTTTGAAAGAATATGCCTATCTTTGCTTCTTACAGAATCATTTTCCATCTCAGATTTTCTTAGACATTAATAGATTAGCTTGTGTGCAAAGTCACTGTGTTTTCCAAAATGTTCTATGATATTTATCCTAAACCATAAAGGAATAGCTCTTCCCCCAAAGACCACATTGCAAATACTTCCTCCTTTTGCAATTATCCTATAAAAATGTCATGGTACAGATACAAAAGGGGTGTGTGTGTGTGTGTGTGTGTGTGTGTGTGTGTGTAAATGATTTAGTGGATCTATTTTCTTTTACAGATATTTTCCATCTATTTTGATATATGGTGAGAAAAAGCTAACTTTTCTAGGTGAATGGGCAATTGTTATAAACACTAAGTAAATTATCCTTTTAAAGTTACTTATCTGAAGTGCCATCTTTAACATACATGCACATACTTATACATATCATGTCTGTTTCTATAACCCCTAATCTGTTTCAATGATCTATTTGTTTGCCCCTGTAGCAATGCCATGCTGTTTTAGGTATTGTAGTTTTACATTATACTTTGCCATAATTACTGTCTTTTCAAATAATAGTATAAATTGCTATTGTACCCCATTTTATTATTTAGAATCAATTTGTCCAATTTCCCCTTGCTTAATCTACCCCCTACACACAAATATCAATGTGATTTTGATGAGATATAATGGCCCTATTTGTTTCATAAACCAAAAATTAAAGCTAGGAATTGTCTACAACACATACTTATTAATGTGGAATATTCTCTAGGCTGTTTACTGATTTTTCCCTCAAGATGTAATTTGTCATTTGTTTTTAGAATTGTGGAATATTTAGGAGGATCACTTGCGCTCAGGAGGTCAAGGCTGCAGTGAGTTGTGAAATACTGGACAAAAAAAGAAGGAATATTTGAAAAACAACATTTTGTTTATTAGTTCAAAGTTATCTGTTTATAAAGCTGTACAGAAAATAAAACCTGTTTATTATGTTATTTATTTATATTCTTACTTTTTTAGTCAACAATGTAACAATTTTTGGAAGGGAACACACTGATATTACCTACTATGGATATGACTTTGCTATATTTTCTATTTACAACAGTTTGAGAATGAATGTTTTTGTGCTATGTCGTTTGATGTGAAAAAGAAAAAAGATCCTGGTTGTTAGAATTTCTATCATGTCAATATAAAATGCCCTTTTTACTCCCATGTAGCGTGATAGAGTGATCCTTCCTTTTATTGTGTTAGTTCTGCCTGCTGGAACTAGGCTTACTCTTTTATCCCCCGTCTGTCTCAGGACTTGTCTTCTAAACAGGATGCAACTATGCTTGCATTTCAACGTGAGCTGTGAGTCCTTAACTTTTATTAAAAGAAATTCTCCCTTTTACAGTTATTCTAACAACTATGCTTAGCCTAATACACATCCCTTTAATTTTCCTATGTATACTTTTTTATTTTATTCTCTTAGCCCTCCCTTTTTTTCCATGACTGAATCAAGTTTAACTTTTCTTTGCATTTTATGGCCACTTATAATTTAGCATTTCAAAACTCATTAAATATTCTGCAAATATGTCAAACAACTAAGCTTTGGACCTTATTATGCAAGTGAATAGGAAATTACTCTAATGTTTCTCTCTTTTTTGTGTCTGTCTGACCAAAAAAAAAATCCAAAGTATACTCCACTTGGGGTGGTAACAATAAGTCAGCTTAAAATAAGACCACTTTGGCATTTAAAAAACCCATGTATTAACTATTATGAGCCAGGAAAAGGCAGGACAAGTAACTTCATATTAAATTAGTAAGAAGTTAGTTCAGTGTTTCTTTCCAACATCTCTGCATCTTTCAAAAGACAAAGCTCTTACCGTTTCTTTTGGAATCTGCATCTGGCTTGGCTCTGCAGTCTAGAAGAATTGAAGAAAAACATAAATACAGACTGACCAAAGCCATCTTCAACACACAGGGATACAATGATTTAAAGAAAATTTTGTTGATTCTTAAAATCCACAAAATATATAAAGGGTAATTATATGATGGCTGATGTAATACTCTGTCTTCCGACCTTTTGCTGATGTGTGTGTTTATGTGTGTTCTAAGAAATTTTTTTAGATATACATTTTTACTTGCTCATTCACAGTACATCATGAATTTATTATTTGGAGAAAAACAAGTCTCACCAAACCGCTTTCCTAATCATGGCACTGTTTCTAATTTTGCTTTTAAAATTTCCCAATCAAATCAAAGTTTTAAGGTCTAGAATCATTTGGTAGCTAGACCAGATAATAACAGTTTGAACCACAGTCTGAACCACAGCATTATACTTTAAAATGTTGCACAGAGAATAAATGTGATTTTTTTTCATATAATGTAGACTTGCCTTAATTATCTAGGAATTTACAAGGATGATTTATTTTAAAAAGGCACAGATTGATAAAAATATTTAGATTTAGACACACAGAATTTAAACATAGACACCCCAAACAGAGGCAAGTAGTTATGTCTACTGGATTCAAAGGTTATTTTTAAATGCCCCCTCCCTTTAAGTTTTCAGGATCTTATTCTTTTAAATTTTGAAAAAGCAGCTGCAACATGCATAATAGACTGACGGCCTACTGGCGTACTCCTTAATGAAAAGCTCACAAGCAATAAATTACATAACCAAAAAAAAAAAAAAGTAGGTAGCAGAAGGGAAAAACAGAAGCCTGGAAGATAAAAATTGGACAAGAAGAACCTGAATAACCTTAAGCTGGCTATATATTGGCACTAACTCTGCAAAAGACTGCTTAAGAGCAGTGTCTAGGCTTTGGCAATCTAATAATGCTAACTAGTGCACTCCGAGACACTAAGGAAGAATTAAAGCTTCAGCAAATCACATGGAAAGCTAGCTGGTTTTTTTTTTTAAGTGCTCATTTACAATTTAATAGAGACATCTCCAGATTTAGGATCAGGTGGCATTTTGAGCACAAAATTGGATAACAGTGGGGGGAGAACGAAAAACTGAATTTAAATTGAGAAATAATGCATTAAACATTTTTAAATATAAAGAAGTTTTCATAATTTATTCAAAATCGACTTAAAACAAAAGTGTTCACTTTTCAACCCTAACACAGTCTGAAATTTCCACAAAATCCACATTAAGTTTTAAGACCTGTGTATAAGCAGGGGATGAGATATTCGTAACTAAAATTTATTTTCCTTTATAATTAATATTTACAGAAATACATAGTTTATATAGAGAATAAAAATATTTACTTTATTTATAATAAAATGTAAATTTTATCATAACACATCGACACCTGAAGACACAACTTAAGAGAATTAGCACTACATGACAAATTTG